GACTAATACACCATCCAAGGGTATGTTCATTTCAATTTCCTTTTGGCACATAGGAAGGCACTAAATATGCTTCCTCCTACTAGGCAAAGAGGAGAAACACTCCCATGAATTACCTCCACCAGCAAATTCTCTGTGGATCTCATCAAAGTCAGTCTTTGGGACATAAGAGCCATCTAGCTCCATCAGAGCCGCTGGGTCTCTCTGCACCTGCCACAAACAGCATCACACCCAGACATGAGGTACAAACCACCCTTATCAGTCAGGGGCCTAGCAGAGAACTGCTGGCTCATTCGAAAAAGCAGTTGAAGAGAACTTATTATATCACATGTTTGCAAAAGGTTGGGCAGAGTAGAGTAATAAGGAAGGGAAGAAGCAGCACCCAGGGAGGAGCAACAGAGAGAACCTGAGCCCAGCACTAAAAGAGCAAATTGTGGGGTCCATTTCCAGGGCTCAGTGAGCACTGGCGCTGTGAGAGGGCTGTGCGGCGTGACCTGTGAGCCCCTGCCAACTTCAGATCATGAAGACAGGATACCAGGGGAATAAATATCTTCACCATTCTCTCTTTCTACACTCAGATTTCCTGTCAGGGCTTCCTATGGCTGAGACCTAACGGAGATCAGAGGACAAGCAAGAGTGCTTGAGGTAGACCACAGAGACCAGCCTTCCAGGGCCCAAACCAGCGGGGGAAGGCAGAGGCACAAACCTAGAGGACTGAACAAAGAAAATACGACACCTACTTCCCAACTCAGTAGACCCTTCTCCCCTTTTCCGAGAACATTACAAGTCACATAACCCTCGCTTGTTTTGTTATATATGGAAAGATAATGTAGGATGGTCAAATGGAAAAACATCTCAGGAGAATTTAGGTAAAGCTCTTTCCACTTTCATGAACCCATAAAATGATTTCAGAATAAGTAGATAGTAATGAAATCTCCCTAAGTTAAAATGATTTTGGCACATTTGAGACTGGCTTAATGCAGGGGCACTACTCTCCAAGCTCCTCAAACATGGTCAGAATCACAGCCAAGGGTAAGATGCTGGTTGGAAGCACCGCTGGTTTGGCACAGCATGGCATTTCTTATGGTGGTATGATTTATGGTATTATGATTTTTTTTTTTGGCTAAAAAAACAACAGTAAATTCACTAAAATTTGTTTACTTAACCTTCTCCTCTGGCAGTAAGGCAGACTTTCATGGACTCTTCCCTGTTAAATTTAGAGAACTAAAAGTCAATGAAATCGCCTAAGGTGTAAGAATGAATCCAAGGAAGTAAGCTTAACTCACTGGGATTCTAAACTGATCAGAAGACATATCCCTCCTAAAAAAAGTTAACATAGACAACTGTATGGTCAAATGTGTCACTGATCTACAAAGACTCCATTCAGTTCTGCCCAGAACCCTGGGTCCATATCCTCCCTCATGTACACTGCCACAGGACAGGGAGGCACATGGACAAAACTTGGAATCATCTCAAACTCTTACCCCCAGTGAGTATGCTGGATCCCTTGAGCGTTATTGACATGTCCAAAGAAAAGCTCAAGGGAGGGCATGTGAAATGGGCACACCCCACTCCACCACACTGAAACATGAGCCCCAGAATGTAGTTCTTTCCTTTTCAGCTCCTGGATAGAGGCAAAAAGCTCTGCTGCCTTTAATGCCCCCACTCATCTCCTTCTATTGAAGAAGAGAGAAGTTCACTTCTCCCAAGTGAACCAGAGAGAAAGAGCATGAAGATTAGCATGAACCCTGAAGTCTTGGAAGCCTTTCTTCATCCAGTGGCAGTGGTGATGCGTGAGGCCATTTGTCTTATAACGTGTGAACAGCCCACTGTGGGTTCAAGACAGTGAAAAAGAGATGTGGGCTTAGAGCCCTTGCAAATTACCCTCTGGTTTTCTAGCAGATACATTGATTGTCCTTTGGACTGGGGGTTATAGCACAAGAGACATTTACACATAGTAACAAAGGACCCAGTTCTGGTGGTTAAAATTACATAGGGGTCACAAGGAGAGGATGTAGCTTCATATCAAACACATGCAAAGACCCAAGTTTATCCTTATTCAGTATCCTAACCACCATTAGTTTCCAACGTGGTTATATTATTTCCATGCTGCCTCTCCATGCATAAGAATTGATGACATTTATTGTCATAAAAATGCTACATCTCACATTATTGAATTTTCTTTAAACCTTGATTTGACAATTCCGCAAGATGTTCATAACGTCCAAGTCTTTTGCAGAACTGCTCCACTTCCCACTGCCAAATATTTGGAAAAGGTATTCACTACCCAAGTATACAATGGAGTAAATAAGCCAGAAAAGAATGTTTTTGTAGTTAATATATAAGATGATATTAACATTAATATGCTCTGAAGGCGTTTGGACCTCCGCTTTCTCCCACACACACTGGCTTAATTTCAGCTATGAAAACTTTTGACATTTAATCCACTTAACAAAAATCTTAATTTTCCTGCTGAAGTCTTGGTAGTCATTAGTGCTATTCATTTATATTTATAGTTTTCTTCTTCCTGGGTACATGGCAGTCTACATGTCCCCTTGGAATCAAATAAAACCATTTGAATTACTTTGGCCAATGAAGAGTGACTAGAACTAATGTATATTGACTCTTGGCAGAAGCCTGTGAAGTGTATGTATCATTCTGCTTTGTGGCCAACCCCCTGCAGTAGGTACCGGTGATACCTCAGTGGGTGGAGTCTCCCTCCATCCAGGTCTCACAGTGAGGACAATCTGAAGTGGGTCCCCAGTGGTGTGACATGAGCATATAGTATGAGTGAGAACAAACTCACAACTCGCTCTTGCCCTGGTTCTGTCTTCCAGATCTGGGCTTGCCCAGGGCCATGCCTTCTTTTTCATTTGGCTCAGAAGCCCTAACCCCTTGACTTGTCCTGACATACTCACCCCTTACTTCTGTCCCAGACGTCCCCATAAACTTTGCTCTGTTTCTATTATCCCAATCCCAATTTCATTCTGTTGAGTGAATTTGACAGTAAAGAAGGGTTTTTCCAAGGAGCAACGCAGTCATTATAGTTGCATGGAGCAGAATGTGTGAAGTTGCAGAGGTGAAGTAGGGTGGGTTTAGTAACCCAAATAAATTTGATATGAATAGTGCATAGACCACAGAGAGTAGAAGAGTAAACTAAAAAATAGAAAGGGACAGATTGTGGAGGACCTAGAAAACTATGCACAAGAATATGTACTTCAATCTGTGGCTAGTGGAAAACCAATCTTGAATTCTAAACAGGGAGGCATTTGATTACATTTGCATCTTAAAATATTGCTCTGGAGTCAATACAATGTGTAGTTGGAAGAGGAGTGAAGAGGCTTAAGGAGGAAGGAAACAGTTACCTGGCCATTCCAGGTAAAAAATGAGAGCCTAAACTTGAAGGATAGAACAGACTGCATTTGGGATATATTTGGGGGATATTTCAGAGTTGATATCTACTTGGATAGATGATAAGGGGAAAGATACATAGGAAAACATTGTCTCAGCCACGTCCAATTTGTAGTTTCCAAACACTGTGGGGCCAATACTTTTGAAAAATGAAACAAAGAAACTGTGTGTTTGGATGTTGCAGAAGAGTCAAATTGCTATAAAAGTTCTAATGCTTAGTTTCCATTTCTGTACTTACTTTGTCACAATGATAATCTGTGGTCCAACACTCTCCTGCAGAGAGCACTTAGGGTTGCACTGTTCTGAAAGGACTACAGAGGTTTTGCCTTTTAGATTCCCCAGAACCTATGGGTTCTTTCTTCCCATTTATTCCCGTCCAGGGATGTTCAGTCTGGCATCAGGGTAACAACTGTATTCTGAAACACTTATCTCAACTCTCTTGCTTTCATTTCAACTATCCTTTTCCATCCCCCAATCCAGACAACTTTTATCTATTTCCAGGAATAAGAAAATCTGCCTATTGGTATATTTTTCTATCAAAAGATTTTATGCTTGGTTTTCTGCTTTTAAAATGCCAAAGTTTAGAATTGTACTCTTATTCTCTAAGTTTAAACCAATTGGTGCAAATATGGTAAGGGAATCTTTTTATTTATTAGCCAATAGCATATCACTATCTGAATTTGGGAAAGGTGCAAGGGAATGCCAGGGATGAAGCTTACCAGTTAATATCAAATGTCATGCTGCTAAATGCAATCAGTCACATAAAACAGATTTGCCCCTAGAACAGGCTCTGTCCACACCATCATTTGTAATTGTTATCATCTTGCCCATTGATCCAGAGTAAATTAGTCTGATGGTATTTAAGTAAAACAGATTCTATCCATGAAATTATGCAAATTCTAACAATGTTGACACTGGTCATACTGTGCAAACTAGTAATTAGACAATGTCTATGTGATTTTCTGAACTTTCAGAGAGAACATTAAACAGTAAGCCATTTGTTAATGGTAGAACATTTCTGAGGAAAATGGCCGGCAGGAGAATTGAGAGGAACAGATCAAGGTACACAGGGATGAGAATGAGAAGTGAAGGGGGTTAAAGGGAGCAGAGAAACAGATTCTTCAACTACAGGATGGAGCATCCTCTACCTTTAAATTCTGCTAGTGTTACTATCCTATCTAATTAATTATTCTTTATAAATTAATCTCTGTGTCTTGTTTGTGAAGATGCCTACTCTCTGTGAGCTTGTTCAATAATAAATTCTTTAACTCATAAGGAAGATTTCCTTGAAAATTTGCAAATTCATAAAGACGATCATAACAGATCATTTTCCCTATACAACACAGTTTCATATAACTGAAAAATTACATGTAAATGACCCAACTCTCAGTTGATGATCAGCTTCTGTCCTGGCTGCAACACTTAGTGAATCCATTTCACAAATTTTGCTTTTTCTGATTTTCATAAAGAACATATGGCTGGCTTGTTTATATCATAGATTCTAGTCACCAATGAATTTAACATTTCACTCTTTACAGAAAGGTCTATTTTTCTGGCTTAGAGCTAATACTTTTTTAGTCTCCTTCACTTACCTCACCATTCCAGAAGTTGTCTTCATTTCAGGCATCATTTATTTTCTGGCAGAAGAAAAAAATGTTCATGTTAATACAGACACGAGGTCCTAAGTGTGAGCCCTACCCCACACCAAAATGCACATGTCCAGGACTGCACACTGGCTTCTGGCACCAGTAGCCTTTAAGAGACTGAGACTAATTCACCAACCTCTAGGATTCAAATTAATCTTTCAGAAAAATTGCAAATTATTTCATGTCATGAACTGCTGTGTCACATGCAAAAGAGATGGCCACAAATGTTAAATTCATGAAGGCAAAAGTTCTGCTCTTGTTTCCTTTGAAAATAGAGCAATTTCTTTGAAGTGAGCTATACAAAAGCACAATAGCACAGGCTGTATCTGAAGAGGTCTTTTATTCGTTGAACAAAAATTCAAGATAAAGTAATATGAATCATGCAGAGACAATTTTGTCAGGGCCCGTGCCCCCCAGAGAGCATATACCCTGCCTTGAAATGTAATCATTCATCCAACAAATGTTTGTTGAGCAACTGCTCTGTGCCAAGCAGTCTCATAGGTACTAGGCATGTAGCAATGCAGGTGATGCTACTGCCCTGCTGTGGGATGACAAACAATAAACAAACACGTAAAATGGTAGGTAGTAATAATGAGTGCTACGATAAAAATGTACCAAGGTACTGGTGATCAAGAATGACCAGAGAAGTCTCTTAAAAATACATCAGAAATCAGCAAACGATGGTCTGTGCCAATTCCTGCCTGCCATCTTGGTTTTGCATGGACCATGAACTAAAAAGAGCTTTTACATTTTTAAATGTGGAAGAGATCATTAGCTTTCCATAAGAACAGTTGCTCAAAGCATTGAAGACATTGCCTCTTGGCCTGCAGAGCCCAAGTTCTTCACTATCTGACAATTTACCAGAAAAGTCTGCAGATCTCTGGATTAGGTGGCTGTATGAGACTTTCTGTAGAGAAGATACCCAAACTGAGAGGTGAAAGGGAAGAATCCACCATGGAGAGAGAGTCAGTGTAAAGATCTCATGGTGGGAATGGTATGGACATAATCCAAGAAGAAAAAAAAAAGACTAGCGACACTAGAGGGTAGATAGTGGGAAGAGTTCAGAGGTAAAGTTAGGGAGGGAGAGAGGGGCTAACCAGTGCAAATCAGACCTGGGTAAGATGAGAGAATTCAATTCAAAATACACAAAGAGAGAAAATGGCAATCCCTAATGGCTGCATGGTACTTCATCATATTGATGTGTCTTATTTTAAATCTACTTCAGCTGTTCCCAGATTTTCTAATTTACAGATAAAGCTCTATAATATCACCACGTGAGTATTTTGATGAACTTCTGAAAATAAATCAGTAAGGTAGATTTCTGGCAGTGGGTCCAATACTGTGGACATTTTTAAGCTTGATAATAAAGTGAGTATCATGGAACAGGTTGGAACAAAGGAAAGAGGAAGACATTTGTGCTAAAAATGATGTGAGCAAAGGCTGGGAGTAGGAACCTTGTTGGCGTGCATAGGACAGACTGTCAACACTGGGTGTGCAAGAGAAAAAAAAAAGTGTTATTTAATTGGGAAAAGGGGGCACCATAAGTACCACTGGTTTATAGAACAAGGAGAAGGTCCTGATATCAATGGGTGCAATCAGACAGAGCAGGACAGATGGCCACAGTGTTTACACGTTCCCTGCCTCGGGGACTGATCTGAGATGAAGAGGGAAGAAGGAATCATTGCTTTTTTGGATCTTCTGACACATTTCTTAAGAGTTGTCTTGTCTTCAGATGTGGACTATTGGAGGGAAAAATGGGACCTCTTCTGAGTAGAAGACCCAGTGAAAAATGCTTACATTGGTTATGTAAATTTAAATGATGACCTTCTCAACTCTGTCTTCCTCAACTTCAACTGTTTCATACACATTCATTGAGCTTCTGTTGTAATATGGAACTAAGAGTTTCAAAAGTGGGGAGAAAACAAACTGGGCTGCTGCCCTCAGTGAGCTTACAGTCTAGCTGGTTTCCCCCTGAAGAGTTAGTGGCCTCCTTCTTGGTGGGGCTTCTGCCCATCTGCACCCCTCTGGTTCCAGCACTTCTCACACACATTTTGTGATGAATTTTTCAGATCACCCCCACTAATGAGCATTTGGAAGATAGTAATTCCATCTTATATATATCATATCCCTAGCGTCACATCTAGCTGTTGCATGATACATGAATGACTTTACTTCCATGCTTTACATTAGAAGTATCTTCAAATGGTTCTGTTGTTTGAAAACATGATTTTTAATGGTAGAGTAATATTCCCTTGTACAATAAATTATTTACCATTTTTCAACTGTTGGACATTTATGCCATTTCTAATTTTTCATGTTTTAAATAATGCTAAGATGACTAACCCTGTATGTAAATACTTAATTACATCTATTTATTCTGTGACATTCATGCATTCCTGGGAGGCCACCTAGCATAGTGGTAAAGAAAAAAAAAAATTTCCAGATTCTGAATATACTCTTACTCTAATTTAGAATTTAAGATTTCCGACTAACTATAGCTATGTGCCCTTAGGTAGTTACTTAACCTCTCTGAGTCTCAGAAATGTATAAAAGGAGAGGATATTTCTGTGTATACACATTTATAAGTACACATTATATGATGTAATAAAAGTAAATATATCTCCTGTATTAGTCATGTCCATACATGCATACTATACCAGCCCTTATTTTATTTTATTTTTTTCAGTGGGTTTGGGTGGGACCTGAGAATTTGACTTCCCCGGTGGGGCTGCCAGTCCTGTTGGCCTAGGGACCACACTATGAGAACTGCTGCTGTGCTATATTCCATTTACTCATCCAGCCCCACTCTGGGTGGGCAGTACCACTCCCAGCTTAACAATAAAGTCCCACAGGCCAAGTGACCTTGTGTAGACCAACCCTTATTTTAAATACCTATTTCAGTGCAGCTGAAACAAAAGTTAAGTGCACACCTGGGGGTTTCAGACATTTTCTTCAATGTGACAACTGTTTATGTGTTCGAATAGATGAGGAAAGGTTAGAAACAAGTGGTATATTTCACTGAGTGCTGTTAATTGAGTGATTTTGCTAATTAATATACTACTTCCTAACAGTGGATGAATAGAGATGTTAATTGTCTTCTTCGTTACAAAGATGGGGTTAATGCCAAAGACTTCAGACAAATAGCACTTAACCCCTGAACTCTGGATAAAGAGGGAGATGGATGTTTGCTTTTGATCATCCCTGTCTTTTCATGATCTGAATCAATGAGTACTCCTTATGGCTTTGAGTCATGGTTCTAATTAGTAGTTTTCCTGGTCCTGGTTTACAAAGTAAAAGATAAATCAAGTCATATCTGTAAATTCCAACAAGCTTTCTGGGCTCATGCCATCTCAATAAAATTGCTTAAATGCCACCTGCTTGTTAAAATGCTTTCCCTAGGCCAAAATATTTATACTAGCAAATTCAATTACATTTGAATGGGAAGGGTATTTTTAAGCTATGAATATATTACATAATGCTATTATAAATAATGGGATACATGATAAGTAAGTTCATAGCTAAATAGAGAAAATGTATCATATATGTTAAAAACTTAAAAATAAAAATTAATCGAATGTAATAATTATGAAAGGACAGTGTAGGTGGCACGTATAATCCAGAAAAAAATATTCAGAGGAATGATCACCCACAAAAATCCCTTGCTTTGCCAAGGTACAGAAATCACAACATAGCAAAGTGAACATTGGCCTTGAGTTCTGCCCAAACATTTAAACCAACCACACAAAATAAAGACAACTTTTTATTCCAAACTTGTAAACTCCTCTACATGGTAATTTTATTTTTGCTTGTGAAAGGCAGTTGGGATACCTGAATTATAGATCAGCAGTGCAATTTAAGAATTGCCAAGTCTCTGTTCTGCGTATAACCACAGTGCCTACTCAGTGTGTTGCTTGAAAGGGTCATCTGCTCTTTTAATTGCTTAACTGGTGTGTTGTAGTGATTGCCCCGCCAGACCATAAACCCCATGGAAGCAGGGACAGGCATCCACCTCACCTACATAATGTCAGCATCTGGAACAGAGGGCATGCTCAGTACATATGTGCTGTATGAATGGATGGATACATGAATGACTTGGCGTGTGTGTCTCCTTCACCCTCCCTCCTAAGTCCATGAGATCATTCTATTTTCTGTCTTTTGAAGGTTACAAATTTCAATTCCTATTTTCTGAAACTGCTTCCCAAGTTTGTCCTAGTAATACCCCAGTTTGTAAAGGGCCTGCAATCTGCTTCCAAATGGAAGTCATGGAGGGGATCAAAATGATTGATCAGCATTAGTAAAATTTATTTAAAAAATAGTATTAGGTGTTAGTGTAGCACACTTAATTTGTAGTACTTGATAATCAGTATCACAGTACTATATGTAAATATACGCATGTTTAATTGAACATACATAGGCTAACAACTCATTAATACACCCATTGGTATATTACAGCTTTTTGGTATCCAAAGTGAAGCCTCTAGGCTCCTGTGGGACCTTAAGAACTATGAATTACTAAGGGCTGCCTCGTCCCCAGGTGAGCAATTTTCTCATCAGCAGGCAGCACCAGACCCACTCTTGCCTGATTTGTGGCTCTGGAGACCCAAGAGGCATCAATTGCAAGGATGTTTAAGTCAGGAAGATTGAATGGGCTGCCTCCATGGCAGTCCCTAGAGTTGCAAAAAGCGAAGAGGGAAACCCCAGGCTCCTCTTTAAAAAAAATTCAAGTCATTGCCAGTTTAGAAGCAGCATATTTGCTTCACATGCATCACAGTCTTTAACCTCTTATATTGAACAGCAGAATAATTCATGTGAATCCTAGCACCACAAAAACCATCATCTAATCCTAGACATTTTGTTTTTCCCATTCTCTTATGTCATGGAGACCCATTTAGTGCTATAATGATTTTTTTGATGTCTTTCTGAATGTAATTTTATTGGCCAAAACAGTTACTTCATAAATATCCACTGCTTCTATTTTTTTTTAATGTTTC